CTGTGTGTGACAGGAACTGGCTGCTGAGGAGCTGGGGCAGCTGACATGGCACTGAACTGATTGCTGCCAACCTGCAGGAGATGGGCTGCCCCTAAATATTTCACTGCCTTACATGAACTGTTGAAAAAATGGGGAGAGAGTGATGTTCTTGTTCTATAGCAAGATGTTGTGACCTGTTTTTGTTTCAAACAGGAGCAGAGTTTGCTGGGAGATTAATTGTTTCATTTATTGTTTTCAATGATGTTCACAGGCCCTGGTGGATCTGCAGCTGTCCACACAAGTCCCAGTCAGGTTTTTTGAGAGCTGGGAGGAGCTTGGAGAATTTGTCACCATGTTCACAAAAGCTGTAGCTGAAGCACCGTTCAAGTGAGTAAGCAGATGAGGTTTTGTTGTGGTGAGCGAGAGTCAGACACACAATACTCATAGAGTTATGGTGAATGCTCCATCTTATTGTTAGGTACATCAGTGTATATATAGGTTTATTACAAAGATCATTACGTCTTCAATATGCTAACTGATTGGTTAGTAATTACTTATTGCTCACGCGTTATGACGAGCTATAACTTTGATACTTTAGGCGCTGTAGTAAGTTACTATTTGAATACTTCTTCTGCTAAACCTGCATCTTGTTGAATATGGTCTTCTTTGTGGTCTTTGTGGCATCAGCATCTCTAACTGGTCCTGCTTCAGTTCCTTCTTTGTATTCTGCTGTTACAAAGTTCCTTTAACCTGTTACTAAAGTGTCCTTTTCTCCTGTTTCTTGCTCGTACAGCTCTTCTGTTCCCTGCACGAACAGCTCTAGTATTTTTCCATGTCCATTGCTGTACAGAAATTCATCCACAAAGTTTGGTCATACCCTCTGTGGAGGGGAAGGACAGTGACTGGGAGGGGACAGCAGGTTGCCCTTCAGTACAACACAGCGTAGTGATTTTTAAAGGAGCAGGTGACACACAGCAGGTGCTAGTGCAGCTCATTCAGCACAGGGTTAGTTCTTGGAAACTGATGTCCTGCTTGGGAAGGGGTGAGCACACCCCTTTGTTTCAGACTGGTGTCCTGGCATCAAGCAAAGCTCTTGTTCTCAGTCTGAGGAGTGGGAAGGGAATGCAAGTAGGGTTGGGCTTGTACAGCACCAGCTTTTCTTCTTCAGTATGTAACTGAGAGAGACATTACTGAGGGTGAACCATTTAGCTGCTTCCACTGCTCAGGAAGGACAGCAGCCTGTTGCACAGTGATAGCTAAGAAAGCCTTCTTGTGCAGTGTCACACAGTCCTAGTGTTCCTGTCACGGCAGCTGCTGCATTTTACATCTCAGCCATGAGGAGAGATGTTGTTAAAATTTACACGTAAAAGTGGGGGTTTTTTTATGGTTAACAGTCAGAAAGTGAATTCTTGTTTACTGCTTTGCATGAGTATTGGCTTGTGTCAGGATTGTTCCCAAATATGGGATTATTTACTTTCCTTTTTCAGTAGGAAATCTGGGTCTTAAACAAGGACATTGGTGATGCATGTAGAAAAAATAGAGTCACATTTTTAGCATTTATTTCAATGTCAATGGTGTCTGTAAGAGCATGGACTGAGTGAAGGCTCTCTGGCTGTGTGACAGCAGAAGCAGGAAAAGGGTTTTCTTCACAGCCTTGTTTCCCATTTTTTGTTTTCCCCAGGCGGGAGCGAGAGAACACAGGGTTCTCCTTCTACTTGGAGAAGCGGTGGTGCGGAGGGGTGAGGGTGAAACCTTCTGGGGAGGGTCTCCTAGAAGTTTGGAAGAGGCAGCTACAACAATTCAACCGTGTCAGCCGCGAGATGGCTGAAGCTATTGTGTCTGCCTACCCTTCTCCTCAGCTCCTGATCCAGGTAAGGCTGCCTCGGGAATACCATGTGCAGACAGGCAGCTAACCTAAGGGGTGGAGGATGTAACTTTATTGGTATTATATTTGACACAATGATTCTGTATCAGCCGTAAGGTGGTGGAGGAACTGATCCCTTGGCATCTGTTGCCTTGGCTTCATGAAGCAGAATCCCATGGGAACAGTTCTGGTCCCACATCCACCTGTAAGCTCACAATGAGCTCTGGGATGAGACCAGGTGAAAAACATGCAAGGGTGGAGCAGCCACAGGTGCACATCTCTGGTTATTTGAGCAACGGATGCAAGTGGATAATACCATGGTTTGTTTCTCTTGTTTTTAGGCCTACAAGAGATGCTCCTCAGACCAGGAGCAGGAAAACATGCTGGCCAACATCACCGTGCACCGCGGGGAAGGCGTGACCGCCACCTCCCGCCGCATCGGACCTGACCTCTCCCGAAGGATCTATCTGCAGATGACTTCTCCTGATCCTGACCTCTACTTGGATGCCACTGGGTAACCTCCCCAGAGAACAAGGATTTCACTGGTTGGTTGGTTGAAGTATTCAGCTTCCTTCTGGGCAATGGGTAACAAATAGAGATGTTGATCCTGGTTTAAAGACTTAAAACACATTCAGGTTTTATTGTAGCAGAAGAAGGTTGGATAAAATAGTTGAACTGCTGCAGTTTACACAAGAAAGATGGTGAACAGCTTCTGTAAGAGCATGAGTTGCATATGTTTTATAGTAGTGATAGTTCCTATAACTTCCGAAAAAATAAATAATATTGGATAATAATAATGATATTTGCTTCTTAACATGCCATCCTGAATATGGACAGGTATGTCATATGTGGAAAGGAATAATTCTGCATCTAAACTGCAAGTAGTTTTCTCTCCAGTGTGAAAAATCCTAATGCTAAAAGCTAAGTCGTGCTGCACCCTCCCAGCACCTCCTCTAGTGAGGTGCAAGAACTTTACCTCACTAAGTAGACTCCCATTTTCCTGCTGTGGCAGATGGGAATGACTAAGACTAATTTTCAGATATAAATTTAGACTGCCCTGATTCAGTCTCCAGACAGCCTAATCTTAGAGGGTCTTGCAATCTGATTATATGTGCTGGAATTATGAGGTCTAAACAGTTGGCAGAAAAACTTTCTTTTAATTAGATTGGAGAACCTGCTCGCCTGTCCACAAAAGCATTAGCACTTGTGTGCACAAGGACAGCTGAGGTCTTCTCCAACAGCAGCACTTACTGAGATGAGTGCTGAGAGGGAATTAAACAGCATCCAGTGGGTGCAAGTTCTCCTTTGGAATCATGCTGCCTCTGGCCCCACTGGCTTCAGGCATTTCATGAAAGCCCTGGCCTGGCCTGTGGTGTGTTTCTCACCTGAACTGGTAAACCTTATCAGCTTGGCATTTGGGAGTTGAGGCAGTGCTCTGCTAGATGGTAACAGCAGATTCCTGCCACACACTGGGAGGAATGTCTACAGAGAGGAATGTTGTCTGCTGCATTTCCAGACATTGCTGGATAGTTAGCAAAGATCTTTCAAGGAATGCGATAAGTTAGATACCAAAAGCAAAGCTTAAAGCTGTGTCGAGGAAGCTTAGGAAACACAGGTATTGCTAAGGCAGAGCCAGGTAGCCTGTACTTCCCCTGGTCTGGTATTCCTGCTGTTGCTTTTTTCTGTGTGGTACTTGGGGAGCCACTTATCATCAGGGTACAAAAATGTGAAGGTGTGCTACCTCAACAGTGACCCAGTGTGGGGAGGTTTGAATTGGATGTTAGGAAGAATTTATTCACTGAAAGGGTTATCAGGCATTGGAACAGGCTGACCAGGGCAGTGGTGGAGTCACCATCCCTGGAGGTGTCAAGAGTCGTATAGACATTGTACTTAGGGATATGGTTTAGTTAAGGACTTGTCAGTGTTTGGTTCACAGTTGAACTCTGTGATCTTGAAAGTCTTTTCCAACCAAGGTAATTCTGTGATAAGCTAGATTATTTCCTCAACACACTGTTCTTATCAGCAATAATCCCAGATATCAGAAGGTCTCAGTGGAGTCTGCTGCATGGGTATTCTCTGAAACCTGCAGTTACAACATGATGTGTACAGCTTCATTTTAGCACTACAAACCCTTAGGGATATGACAAACCTCTGGTTTTCTCGGGAAGGAAATGATAAATAATTCATGGGCCCTTTGCAAAGGCGAGGTTTCTTCTCTAGGTGAAAGCTGCCAAACCTCCCAGCCTTCCCAACAGCCCCAAGGTGAGCCCTTCTCTGCCTGCCAGCATTTCCCGCTGCCACAGTGCCACCCAGTGCTGCGTGCCACTGCTGCAGCCAGTGACAGGCATCTGCCCGTGGTTCTGACACCCCCCCCTTACCCCACCTCACACCCACCAAACCACCTGCAGGCTGGCCACCAGCCCTTCCTGAGCTGTAGCCACTTTGGTGGCACTAGCTGCTTCAAGCAACTCAGAAATCCTTACTCTATGTACTCAAATATTTTTTTTAGCTGTTTCCAAAAGACCTAATTAATTAAAACTGCATTAGCAACAAGAAAACATCCAGTTCAGACAAAAAATGCTGTGAAAACTGTTGTATTGAAAATTTTCAGCTCCTTTCAATAGTACATCAGCTTCATCCCTCCAACACACGGACGCACAGCCATCCTACACACCTGGCATTGGTCCTGGAGGGGGCCTTCGTGTCTTAATCCCGTACAGCCACATCACCAATTTTAGCACACAGAGAAATGAGAGCAAGGAATGGATATGTATAAAAACCTGCCTCCAGGACAGAGCTACAGCTACCTAGATAATCCATGGACTGGTTTTCCACTCCTCTAGACTGAATCTGTATCTCACAGTCTAGGTAACCATCCCCTGGAGGTAAGAACTGTTACAAGTGTTGGTTAATGTGGGCAAATAACGGGAGTTACAGGCCAACTGCAAAACATGCACTGCAAAGATGATGTGAACAGTAACTGCTCTGAGTGGAGTGGACCAGCAAACCAACGCTTACTGGTTAAAAGCAGTTTCATCAGAACACAATTCCATAGGAATTCTGGCTGCGTAAGATGGTGGAGGGAGATGCTGACGAAGCAAGTGCCCGTCGAGGACAATCACTACTGCGAGTTCTGCTGTAGCAAGTTTTGCAGGGTTTTGTGGTTTTGCAGGGCAGCCAGCACGTCCTCGTAGAGGGTGTTGACGCTGACGCAGAGCGGCTGGCGGTGCAGCTCGGTCAGCTTGCAGGCAGCCACGGTGCAGAGGACACACAGCAGCACCAGGAGCAGCACCCGCAGTACCGACCGTGACCAGGAGTGCTGCTTGTGCCGGGGTGGCTGAGGGGGACGAGAACTGGAGGCTGGCTCTGTAAAGAGAATGTTGGCAAGACAGAAAAAGCGAGGAATTAATCAAATGTCTTTAACACTCTAAGTTCAGAAACAAGCTGATCCAATCTCAAGATGCTTTAGCCTTTGCTGCTTTGTCATACAGTTTCATCATTTTGGTTAATACATAGATGAGCAGGATCTAACTGTGGAGGATGAGAAGTGGCAGATTTAGTTTCATGGGCAGCAGTGAAGCAGGTGTAAAGCACCTCTGTGTTGCACAGGATCTAGTTCAGTACACAAAAAGAAGTGAGTGGAAGGAAGATCTCCTTAGGAACAGGTGAAGAACTTGCTGAATCTTGTAGCTCAGCAGTTCACTGGGAACACAGACAGAGAAGGGAGAAGGGCACAGCAGCAGGGCTCATGAGAGTCCTACAGGTGTTCCCCATCCCAGAACCTGGCGTGGATAAAACCCTATCTGGCAGCATCGAAATGTGTGATCAAGAAGAAATGAGAGGCAACCCCACAGTACTCACTTCGGGTCTGCACCGTTTCTTTTTTAGGTTTCTTTTCCATCTCCTGTTTTGCAGCTTTTTGAGCATCATACTCCCGTCTCCTGCGCTCCTTTTCTTCCGCCTTCTCTCGCTTCCTCAGCTCCCTCTCCTGAGCCTCCTTTGCACGTTGTTCTGCTTCACGCTTCTTCTCCATTTCTGGAGATGAATAGGAAGGGGTTTTTTTCTTTTATGTAGACTTAGGAAGGCTTTCTTCCTTATCACCTGCTTATCTGTTTCCAGTTGCATTGAGGAAAAATAACTGTCCTTTTGAGTTTCTTTTAATATCACATCCCTTGCTTTTTCCTCCCTCAGAATTAGGCTTCCCTTGAAATAAATCCTGTGCTCTTCTTTCATATTTTTATAGGTAACCTGTAACTCATTCCATCTAGAGATCTATTATTCCGGCATGAAACTGCATAGTTATCTCCCTCTATCCTTCCCCCTTCAGCACTTCTATGCTACTGCTCCCTGAGTCCTCGGGATTTTAACAGTGACAAGTATTTGTCAGATGGCCATTTGGTGGCAGTTGGGATGTTTGGGTGTGCATGAGGGGTCAGGAACATCCTCAGCAGACAGCAGGTCAGGGCTCTTTGTGCTCACCTCGCTCTGCTTGGAGCTTCCGTTGCCGCTGCCGATCCTGCTCGGACTGGATCGCTTTCATATGCTGCAGTACCTTCAAGGTGCAAGAAAACAACCTGAGGCCTCTGCAGACGCTCCTTGCCCAGTCATTCCCAAACAGAGAAGCTGGGGACCTTCAGCTGGGGCTGACCACCAAGCCTGACTGACCCCTACAGGTACAGCTCTGAAGAGATCTCGCACTTTCCCAGGTGAATCTTCACAGTCAAGAAACAGATCTTTATGTTAAAAAACCAACCCTGCCAAACTGCTGCTAGCCAGTACAGAGCATCACAGAACATCTGTGGTTTTGAGAGCCTATAGTTTGCCAGAACTGCTGCTCCTGAGATTTTTGACTCTGGACTATAAGCCTAGATAGACATAGATTATTTTGTTTGCTTATGCCTCCACTTCCTAGGCAACCAGCATTTAGTCCTCTCTTAACTCCACTATTGGCAGAGACTCCTACTCAGCCCAGTGTTTGCTCTCTACAAGCAAAGAAGTGGTGAAGACAGTGCCATGAACCTGCACCTCACTGGCTGAACAAACTTCCAACTGCTGCAGCAGCCACCCAGCTTGCTAAGCAAAAAAACCCCACCTACCATCACTGATGAAGCCAAGTAAAGAAAAAGAGAATGAAGGCAGGTTCCTTACCCTCACAGCAGCTTGTTTACACTGCTTCTCATCCAGACAGTCTCCTGCTACTTTAGCCAGGACAGGATCCAGGGGATTGTCCTTCAGATCCAGCCACTTCAGGTTCTGCAGAAAGGAATGACAAAGGGGAGGGCTGTAAGAGCACAGGCTTGTGACTATTTAAGAGCTCCAAAGCAGAAGCAAAGAACTCCTCAGTTTACACATGAATGAAACAGGTATGGACAAGCAGAGAGCTTGAGCAGAGATCACATCCATAGATGTGAGATTATTTCCACTGAGCTGTGGTGCAGAGCCAGCTGAATTTTGCAACGGGTAGTCAGCATGATGGATGCTTTACCAGAGAAATCAACTTGAGAGGGATCACAAGACCCTGGGCTGCATCCCAAAGCTTTACGTAACCGCCCATCGCACAGTTTTACCTTGAGCTGTGCAAAGCTGACGGGCAGACTCAGCAGGTCCAGGTGCTGCAGATTGACCAGGCGGCCAAAGTCCCCGGGCAGCTGCTGAAGTCGGTTTTTACTCAAATCCAGTTTCACCAGATGCATCAAACTGCAGAAGTCTGACTAGAGCCCGGAAGACAAAACCCAGAAGCAGCTTGTCAGCACGTGTAGACAGCCTGCACAAATCCTGAGCTTGCCACAGAGCTGGGAGGGAGGGAAACTTGCTCTCCTCCCTTGCCTGAGAAGATGGAGGTGGAAAACAGTGGGAAAGGCAAGACAGGGTGACAGGGTGGTGTGTGGCAATAAAACTTGGAACAAACACAAGTCTCTGCTGCTGATGAAACTGGTCTGTATTCACGTGGGGATCCTCTGGCAGGAGGACACTCATCTTCATGCAGTGCAAACCCTGCCTCAGCCCTGGCCACCACCCACACCCACCCAGCAGCAGCAGCACATTCATTCAGCCACCCCAGGAGGAGGAAAGTGCCAGTTGCAAACCTCCCGGTGAGCCTTTCCTGCAGCAGCAGTTATCGTTCCTAAACACCTCCCCGCAGACCCATCCCCGCAGGGGCTCCCTAGCACCTACCGGCAAGGAAACGAGGTTGTTACAGGACAAATCCAACACGGTAGCTTTTGGAAGAGCAGCCTGAAAGAGAAACAAAGCCCCAGGTCAGCACCGAGGCACATGGACACCCTCCTGACACCCGCGGGTTTTGCTTCAGCCCTTGCGGTTCCCCCGCACCGGCCCGTCCGTCCGTCCGTCCGTCCGTCCCCCCGCGGCTGCCACGTCACATCGCGACTGATGCCTGGGCCTGAAGGCTGAACTTAGGGCTACACAGCCGTGAGCAGCTGC